TTATGTCCCCCCCTTGAAATAATTTCAGTTCAATTATTGTCTGAAACGTTTTTGCTTTAAACGTAAAGGTTGTATGATATTCTAGTGGATTGATTAAAATAGCCCACTTTGCATAGTATAAAAATTTAAGAATTGTTACAATATATAAATTATAATATTCTATATTTGTCAACTTTGAGAGTTTATACAAAAAAACAGTACACTTAAAATTTGCAGAAAAAATCACCAAATCAAATGACGATAATTTCGTAAATAATAAAGATAGAAAGGTCTGTAAAAAATAAAAATGAAGTTTAAAATCTCTACTTTAAGAATCAATTTATTTCAATGTTGCGAGATAAACTTATTTAAAATGGCGGATGACAAAGCAAGAGCATGCGAAATTGAAAAATAATGGTCCGAGTTTGCCACGGCACATGACGTGAGTCAAATGTCGATCTATGAAGCAAAAGGAGAAAATGACTCTAACATATACACACAACACTTAAAAAACATTTTGTATTTCTATTAAAATTTTCTTGTAAAAATTTTCGTGTAAAAATTTTTGTGTTAAATTTTTAACATACTCTTATGTTAATGTAACATATTATTGTTGCGTTATTTTGACATTTCTGCGTTGAGTTAATATTCACCGTTTCTAAGAATTAAAACAACACAATTAATATGTAAATGCATGAATTTTTGATGAAATATGTTATATGTTAATATGAACAGATAAGTTGTGTTATTTTTCTTTCTATAACGGTTTCCATATGTTAGATCGACATATCTCTTCTGTTATTTATTATAAAAATGTAAGAATAACATTTTCTTTTAATTAAATTTAACATTAAAAATATGTTAATTTAACATAAACCTTATTTCCAGATAAAGTTTAAGTGTTACATTTTTGTGTTAATTTTTAAACATATTACTTGTGTCATTTATTTACATACTTGCCTTTTGTTAAATTAACATTAAAATTAGAGTGGATAAATTGGGACATGTGAAATATGTTAAATTTAACACAAAATTTTTTACTGTGTATTGAATAATGCCTCAAATTCAGGCATTGAGTAGGAAAGGTGTAATGTAATAATGCATTTTACAATGTATTACCCGGCCGTTCATCCGCTGGAAGTCTATCGCCCGAACATCAGTCGGGCAATTGGCAGAGCGTTGCGCCTATTTCTAAAGTTTATCAAAATCCGTAACGGCAATAACAATGTCGTAAACATTCGAAGTCCGCCGAAAGTTATCAAACTTCGGTTTAGCCGAAACCACTGATGGGACCGATCCGTCGATATTGTTCGGAGGGAAAACCGAATTACGCTGAAGTGAGTAATTAAATCCTATAAAACGGGAGCATCGGCTAAAAATCAGATCTGATCTGATCAATGTTTTTGTGCTTATATTAATTTACTTTATTATCGGACTACTACCTTTATACTACCTTTTCGTTTAGAATTATTATTAATTTTATGTTTTAAACATTTTTATAGCAAAAATTAAATCTAAAGAAATATGACAGTTAATAATATAATAAATTATAAACTTGTTTTTAATTAATATTTTTAATTTTCTCAATATTCACATTTAGAAATTTATGACATATTAATTGTACATTTAATTGTACATTTACGGAGGGTATATACATAATTTTGATATGGGAAAAAGAACAAAATGAATTATTATATCTATCATAGTATCTATTAGTATGAATGTCTATTATAGTATATAATAGCAGGATTCTTATAACAAAATTAATATTTACTTACACTTTTGTTGAACTTAAATTATAAAAAAATGCATTATCTAGGGATTTGATTAAATTGAATAAATTTGGAAATAATTTATATGATTGAATAAATAAATAAAATAATATAGAAAAATAGCTTTCAGTAAAAATATTAACTAGCATTATAGTTAAATAAAGTTTGCATTACTGCTAAAAAAGTTTGCATTACATTGTACGTTACATGTTACAAATTATAAAGAGGGAGTTTAAAATTATTATAATTATTTATTACATATTAAAAATATTATATATTAATATTTTTGCTTATACTTGCAATTAAGTTAGAAGAATTTATAATGTAAATATATATTACTAGTAAATTAATGTCAATAATTGTGTATTATTAATTAATGTAAGGGTTTTGATGGAGAAAAGATGGTTTAATATATAATAATACAAAATGATAAATTTATTATATAAATTTCCCTACAGATAGAAATATTATATATCGGAGTAGGTTCAACAATCGCAACGGGCGGCGTACTCGTTTCGTTATCGCTCCAAACGTTCCGGCGACTGATTGTTTCAATGCTCGATTTACGATTAACTCGCTTGCTCGCCAAAATGCCCTTCTCGAGAGAATAATATTCAGATAAACAAATAACAAAGCAGTCGAGAATAACGGTCGCGCCGCGTTTCGAATCTTACGTTTCCACGGCCATCCTGCACGAGCATTCAATCCGAATGTTCATCGGTTTTACTAATCTTTCTTCTCAGAAACTCTGCCCTCGTCATCATTTTCGAGCCATTTTCTTGAAATCGGCTGCCGAAGATGTCTGCAGTAGTCCCTCATGCTCTCTGATTTTGCGCAGGACAGCGATCGTTGCGTAAAACGCGTATAACCCATAGAGCCCCAGATATTTATGGGAAAATTTAAGTCCCGGTCCTTATTGTGTACGCCTAATGGCTATGACATCTCCCATCCTATATTGAACAGGTTTCTTCCTTCTTTTATCGTAATTCGCCTTATTCTTGCATTGCATTTTCTCGATAAGTTTGGCCTGCCATCGCAATTCGTCTCAGTCGTCATTGAATGAAGTAACGAGTTCGTTTTCAAGTATCTCCTTAACGTCAGAATCGTTACGAACACGAGGATACCTAACCTAATCCAATAGAACACGAAAGGGTGTCTGCCTCTATGAAGCATCGTATTTAAGCATAACTGAGCAGCGTCCAGATATGTGTATCATTCATGAGGTTGTGGAGCTGATAACTTGGTTAACAACGGTATCAACATGCGATTCAAGCTCGACTTGACCGTTAGCTCTTGAGATTCCCGTGGTGATAAGTTGATGTTCGATACTCTCTGAGTTGCAGTGTACTCTTCGAATTTTTTGTAAGTAAATGCTTTACCTCTATCGAAGATAATTCTCCGTGGATTACCGAACATTCATGATTGTTTCTTCAAACGGCTCGTGACTTCGGCTGCAGTCGTAGATTTTGTCGCATATATAGCTACAAAAGCTTCGAAAAGCCATCGACGACAATAAAGATATAGGCATAGCTCTTCTTGGTCGATGGTAAAGAACCTAAATGATCAACGGGAGACGTATTCAGCGGCATGGTGTCCTTCTCAATTGGATTTAGTAGGCACTCTTGTTTTCCGCGCTTTCGCTAGGCTAGGATGCACGTCACACTATTCCGCACGATTCTTTCGATCTTTGGTTAGGTTAGGTTTGGTGAAGAGAAATTTTTGGATCCCCAATCTTCGAAAGAGATTGGGGATCCAAAAATTTCTCTTCATTAAAGCCTCCGTCTTACCGATTCCAAAGTGTCCGAGCTCGTGAGATCTTCTAATAATTTGCGTCTGTATTAATCTTGGGGAGACTCAATCGGATATCGCCGCCTGCTTTTTTGTACAGAATTCCGCCTCGAATCAGATACCCATTTTCTTCTCCCCGCTCCATAGCATCAACGAGCTTCTTCAGTTCGTCATCTTCTCTCTGCATCCTTTTTAATCGTGCCATTAGCCTCTCCTCACATTCATTCACGGTGAAGCAGGATGGCAGAGGACTTCGACTGAGGACGTCGACGTGCATCATGTTTTTACCCGGTCGGTGCTCTATGCATAATCGAACTCTTCTAATAACTGAAAAACGAGAAGGGTTAACGATTTGTATAGTAATAATACAAATTTTTATAAGAAAAGACTTAGGACCGTGACGTAGGGTGATAGTACGAAATGACAATTACGAATTAATAACGCTAAGACAGATCCACTGATGTTAAAAAGTAATTTAATAATGGAAAGTCTGTCAGAGCAAAAAATTATTTAAATACATTTAATCGACAAACGCACGTTTCGATCTTCTATAGATCATTTTCAATGTCATACAAAATTATAAAGGTAAACGCAAAGATTAAAACAAAAGAAGGTCATGAAGACCTTAACGATAGTTACAAAATATTTAAACGCATGAAATAACAGTCGGAATTATACTTGGTGGAAATGCAAATTTGAATAAAATATTGTAGATAATTGATATCGCTAGTCGAATAATCAAAGGATTATTGAAAAAATTGTAGTCGACCAAACTAGCCAAAAAATTGAGTTTATTAATACGACGTTTCGACCATATGATTGTGGTCCTTATCAAGTGTACACTAAAAAAGATTTATAAATAAATAAATTAACGGTTTTGAATATATAGCAAAGCACGACGATTTAGAGTGTGAAAAGATATTTAACATTAATTTAAATTATCTACTCAATAAAATTAAATATATTGAAAAACGACTGTATGAATGTCTACCTCACGATCTACTGACTGATTTTTTTGCATTAAATAAACACAGACTTTCATCCTTTGATCTTAGTATAAAGAATAACTCAATTAAGAAGTTCAACAACTTAAAACAAAAACACAATTCCTGTTCACATCTTTTTTCAAACATCAATAATTCTAAGTGGTTGGTCAACATCAGCAGTAAGGCCATTCCTGATACGGTCTCGGATTTTTTGAGCTTGGGTGAGAACTTTGCCTTGCCTATCGAACATAAACAAAATAATGACCGCACTAACTATGTTTTGGACGTGATCAAGAACTTTGAAGTGAGTAGTAACATTCTGCCCACCGATACTATCGAAACAACTCGTATTTCGGTGGCCAATATACTTCAAAGATTTCTTGTTACGAAAAAACATATTAATTTTACAGACCGGTATGTCCTTAATTCGTTCGCGATTTCCAAAAAATATCTACGAGAAAACAATAGTGACATTATGGTCACGAGAGCCGACAAGGGTCAGACCACTGTTGTCATGGATAAAAAAGATTACTTTGATAAAATGGATCTGCTGCTGAATGACCAAACTACATACAAAACTTTGAACAAAGATCCTCTGAAAAAATTGACGGATAAAATGAACGAGCTAGTAAAATCATGGCGAAAAAACAATTTGATCAGTGAATTGACATATAGAAATTTAAACTGTACGAACGGTAATTTACCGCGATGTTACGGTCTGCCGAAGATCCACAAAGACGGTTTTTCATTGAGAATCATTGTATCTGCTTTGGGAAGCCCCGTATACAACGTTTCGAGTTACATCCACAACATTTTGTATAAATCGATAAAGAAACCAAATTCATTTATTAAAGATGGTTGGTCCTTTGTCCAGAATATTAAGAATACAGTCATTAATGAAGATAACATTATGATTTCGTTGGATGTGACTTCGTTATTTACAAACGTTCCAAAGGAGTTGGTTGAAAATGCCATTAAAAAGCGCTGGGACGACATTGCAAAAAATACTAAATTCAACTTATCTCAATTCTTATTTGCAATTGACTTGATTTTAGACTCTACTTGCTTCTCCTTTAACGGACGTTTTTACGAACAGATCTTCAGCACACCTATGGGCTCTCCACTTTCACCTATCTTGGCAGATATGGTGATGGACGATCTGGAGACACAATGTTTAAACTCACTGAATTTCGCCGTTCCCATGTATTATAGATATGTAGACGATGTTTTTACTATTGTACCACGCACAAAAATTGACGACATTTTAACCAGTTTTAATAACTATCACAAACGTTTAAGATTCACATACGAGAAAGAAATTGATTCTTTTATTAGTTTTCTCAATGTTAAAATCATTCGGTTGGGAACAAAACTCATCACTAATTGGTTTAGGAAACCTACGTGGTCCGGTAGATATATTAATTTTTACTCGAATCACCCGTTAAAATATAAGATTAATACTATTTATAATTTAGTTGACCACGCCTTTTTACTATCTGATGACTGCTTCAAACATGAGAATATTAAGTTAGTATACGATACGTTACTTAATAATTGTTTTCCTGAACACATTATTCATAGACACATTCGAAAAAGAATCAATTTTTTAAACAACTGTGACCGCAACAATACTGTTGACATCAACTCTACTCATCCAGACAAAACTCATTTTATCTCTATACCATACGTAGAGAATACTAGTCAAGATCTCTACCGTCTTCTACGTTGAAACAGTGGTTTCAACGTCGTCTACAAAGTAACAAAAAAACTAAATAACTTAATTAGATGTGGTAAAGACAGCTTACACAACAATGACAAGACAAGTGTTGTATACAAATTAAATTGCAATCTGTCATATATTGGGCAAATAAAAAGACATTTGCGGATCCGAGTGAAAGAACATTGTAACAATATAAAGCTACATGAGTCTAATCACTCCGTTATTAGCAAACACAGATTGGAATCCGGACACAATTTTGATTGATCGAAACCGAATATCTTGCACAATGAAAAGTACGTTCGAAAAAGAGAGATAACTGACAAGGAAAGGGTCGGAAGTGTCCCCCTCCGATTTTAATGAGCTTTGAATATGTTGTAGTCTAGATCAAAATAGGAGACACGTATTTTTTTATAAGTGCTGAGTCGGCCGTTAAGGGGGTGAAACACCTTCTTGAAAAAAATCGATTTTTTCATTTCTCAGCGGATACCGTCGAAGCGATAAGAGATATAAACAAAAGTTTCAAATAAAAGTTTTATGGTCTTTAATGTACTTCAAAATCATGTAATCAGATTTGTCGAAAATGTCATATTTTTCGAAATCCCCCCCCCTCCCTTTTAATGTTTGAAAATTTTTAAATTTGTCTCATAACAAAACTTATAGCTCATTTAACGACAAATTCAATCATATATAATAAAGTTGTATTCCGAAGTCATTATATATATGTATATGGAAATATTACATAAAATACCATACATAATTATTGCATACAAGAATAACAAATATTCATGGTTGATATCGGTTACAAAGATGATGATCATGAAAGAAATGATTTATACAAAGGGATTTTTTACACCATGCGCAAGAAATTACAGCAATTTCACCGCAAATATCACATGTTGGTTTTAAATTAGTTTTGAAACAAAAATCTACTGGTGTATCAAATTCTTCTGGTTTCTTTTCTAAATAACCACTTTTATACCATGCATATTTGAATAAATTTTTAAACCTTGGTGATGAAAATTGATTATGTGTTAATGATTGTAATTTTAAAATATTGTTTCTTGAATGAAGCTTGACGTCAAGATCTAAAAGCATGATGGTATCTGAAAAATGTCTAACAAAATTTTTCCATAAACGAAAACCGAATACATCTAAAGGTTGTATTTTTCCCGTTGCTCCAGCTGGTATAGTTAACAAATTAATATTGTCTATAAAATCTGGTTTGTTTCTTTGAATTATATCAGGACAATGACCAGTCCAAGAATCTAATAATAACACTGATTTTGGTCCAACATTTGGAAAAAACACTTCTTTTATCCAGATCTCAAAATGATGCGATGTTAATTTTCCAGATTTTGATGCCATGACAAAGATATTATTATCTTTAAACATTGTTTCTTTTACTATTGGACCAAATGTTCCAGTAGGTTCTTTTAAAACAATAAACAGAGGCGATAATAATCTACCATCAGCTGAAACAATAGGTTGTATAGTATAACTATGTGTAGTTGCTGATATGGATTGTACTATGCGCTCTACTTTTTTAATACCAATAGGTGATAGTGAACGACCGGAATGAAATTCTAATTGAAATCCACTTTGGTCCGAATTATATACATTTTCAATTCCATATTGTATAATAGAAGATTTAACATTTTCGATAAATGACTTGCTTCGTGCTTCTAAATCTTTGTCTGACGCTAAATTTTTTTTTGTTATAAATTTTGTAATTTTTCTAGATACGATATTATGTGCAAGCTTAAACCTTTTTACCCATGATAATGATGCTGTAAAACCAAGTAGATTTACTTCCTTCTGTGCGCGAAGAGCCCATCGAGCAATATCAATGTCATGAATAATTATTCCCTTTTCAATACCTTCATGGAATTTATTTAACGTATATGTTGAAATTTCTTTCAGTTTATCAAATCTGTTGCCACCTTGATTTACTTGCTGCTCCCATCTTCTTAATTGACGTAATGACGTGACTTTCCGAAATCTATTTCTTATAGATGCAAGAGTTCTTGACTTTTTTGTTCCACTTCTCCATAACTCTACTGCATTTCTTTTATATTCTATTGGTACAGAATCCGCAACACATTCAATTTCTTTTACAAAATATGTGTCTTCTTCTCTTTCTTCATCAATTACAGGTTCTACTTCAGGTATATCAAATTCGTTTTGAAAATCTAATGATGATTCTTCATAAACTTCAAACGCTTCTTCATACATTGATCGAAGCATATTTTCCATCATGTCTTTTGTTTCATTTTCATCTGTTGTAACAGGACTTTCTGGGAATTCCCCAGTCATATACAGTGCAGTGTATAGCAGTACTGCTACATTTCTTGGATTAAACATTATCTAAAAAAATTATTAACATTATGTATATTTGTTTTATAAATATTAGCAAAAAAATACTTATTAGCAACAAAAATATTTTATTATTTAATGCGTATTAATAATTTGTTACGTTTTCCGAGTTTCATGAAAAATAGAACAGTTTTATCACATAACTTAAATAAAGTAATAAAATATTAATTATAATTTAAATACATTAAAACAAAACAGATAAACCGCAATTTTGAATGAAGTGTAAGTAAAAGCAAAAAACTATAAAAGTTTTAAAAATCGAAAAAGTACATACATACTGTATTGTTGTGTGCGTGGGGCACAATTGTTTTTTCAGGATAACGGCTAGTCTTGTTAATTAACTCGAGCACTTGTTAATTATTTGATAACTGATTTGTGACTGTCCGCCGCTTCTAGGCGGTGGCTTTTAACGCCTCCGGTTCTGAACGATTATCGGAGGAGGATCGCGCGGTGGCATGACCAAATAAAATCATTGGTTATTTCTAAAGTGGCGTGATCAAAATGCAAGCGAAGGAAGTCCGAAGACTTCCTCGCATTTTATTGCAATTCAGCGCTATTTCGAGAGTGATTTCTTCCTCTGTTTGATGACTTGGCCGTGTGATACTGGCTGTATCAGCACTTCGGGCAGCTGACTTTCTTATCGCGACGCATTTTTTCGCTCGCTTTATAAGTTATAATCCTTTTAATTATTTTCTTATATATATAAATATATTTACTATCGCGCTCGCGTATATTCGATAGACGCTTTAATAGTAATATGTGTTCCACTGCACGCAGTTGTTAATAAAATAATATATTGCACCAACTCATTTCGCGAATGCGACATCTGTTTATTCATAGAATTGAATCTATTAACATCGGCATCTGATCAATAATTTTCCTTGTCCGACTAGTTTTATTTTTCATGCATTAAAAACATTACTTTTCCATATAAATTATATGTATATTTATTGTCACATAATATAGACATATATTATAATTATAATTATTATATAATTTATAATTATATTTATAAATATAATTTCTATAATTTATAAAAATATATTCTCATAAATTATTTATTGCTAATTTATGGTTGCCTCTGTGAGTTTGCGAAGAAAAATGACTGTCGCTGTGAATAACGAGCGTCATAAGGCGGATAAAGCGGGCGTATAGTAGTGTATAGGGATATTTTTAATTTATTTCTGAAAAATGTGACTTCGGAATACAACTTTATTATATATGATTGAATTTGTCGTTAAATGAGCTATAAGTTTTGTTATGAGACAAATTTAAAAATTTTCAAACATTAAAAGGGAGGGGGGGGGATTTCGAAAAATATGACATTTTCGACAAATCTGATTACATGATTTTGAAGTACATTAAAGACCATAAAACTTTTATTTGAAACTTTTGTTTATATCTCTTATCGCTTCGACGGTATCCGCTGAGAAATGAAAAAATCGATTTTTTTCAAGAAGGTGTTTCACCCCCTTAACGGCCGACTCAGCACTTATAAAAAAATACGTGTCTCCTATTTTGATCTAGACTACAACATATTCAAAGCTCATTAAAATCGGAGGGGGACACTTCCGACCCTTTCCTTGTGAGATGTTCTTTATCAAGAGATTTAAAAATCTAATCAACCTACAGAAAGACACAGATAGTTTAAATAATATTTACGACAAAATTATAAAGGTCACTTAATATCGTTGTTCCTCTGGTCATGTTTAGTTTCTTGACGAAGTCTCACACGGGCGCATCAGCTTCTCTCTAATTTGAATATAGTTAAATAACGTTTTTTTTTGTATTACGTGATTGCGTTGTTTTATTTGTTTGCTAGTGATGCTTGCCTTCTGATTATTATTACATCGGTAAATATCTTTTCACACTCTAAGTCGTCGTGCTTTGCTATGTATTCAAAACCGTTAATTTATTTATTTATAAATCTTTTTTAATGTACACTTGATAAGGACCACAACCATATGGTCGAAACGTCGTATTAATAAACTCAATTTTTTGGCTAGTTTGGTCGACTACAATTTTTTCAATGATCCTTTGAATAAAATGTTAAGCAAAACATAATAAAAGGCTATAAAATGCTGCAAGAGAGCACAGCTCACCTCAATATTAAGACTTAATGCGTTATAAATGAAATCAGAGAGAGAATGCGTCAGGGTTTTTAATTCCCTCGATGAATTCGTCTCAAAGATAAAAATTAAAAAATTAAAGATGTCCATAAAAAAGTCGTAGTGATAAAATTGAAAGTTATAATCCAAAAATAGATCTCTCTAATATTCAAACTGTCAAAGCACGTCAAAAAATGAATTTGATAGCAAGGTGGCGGCCTGTAAAAAAGAAAGAACGAGAACGGAGAGCAAGCACAATCGGAACAGCACTTTATGCAAAAAAATTATTTCCCGCAGACTCAAATTTTTGATTTCCAATCTGAATCTCATTAATTTCTTCCTGTTAAATTTACCAAATTTTCTGGTTAATAATACTAAACTCACCAGCACCAAGTCGTCTAAAATTTTTTTCATCTAATCTCAAAAGTCTGTTTAATATTTTGAATTCCAATACGATTATTGGATAAATTCAATTCAAATTATTGAATAAATTATTTTAAGTTCAGTTTGTTAGAAATTAAACTGATAAACAATGATGCAAGAAGAGGATGCAACTCAAACACACATAATCAGAGAGCTATCGTCCTCTTTCAGGCACTACTGCTCGTAAGAGAAAAAAAATATACTTTGGATTTAATGTTAATACTACATATATAGAAAAAATTTGATAGATTTCTTTTTAGTAAGAAATGTCATAGCTATGTAGAAATTTTATGATTACATCATAGAAATTTGATTTTTCGTTCAGAATTAAGAAAATATATTGAAATACAGTATACAATCAAATTAAATTAGCAAATAATTGAAATTTATATTAGAAATTCATGTACTGCAATGTATATTTAAAAGGACTATAATTAAAATGGAATATTTAGAAATATTTTAATAGTAAGCGTAAAAATTATAAGATTTTATACATGCAAAATATCAAAGTCATCATATGCAAAATAATTACAAATACAAAAACTACACAATTAAAAAATTAGATAACGAATAAAGTATGTAAATTTAAAATTATTATTTACTCTCAAAATTTTAGGTAATAAGAGTTAATAAAATTTTTGAAGGTTGTTGATCGCGTTCCATTTCATTCAAATCTTTTTAAATATGTAAAATGCAATATTTAGAAATATTTTAAATATGTAAAATAAGTATTCTATCACGGAAAAAGTCATTAATTTAGACAAAATAATTTTAAAAAAAAGCTATAAAATAAAATAAAATCAATTAAAAAGTAAGCTCAAAAACATTAAAAAGCAATTGTCTGGAAAATTTTCTTTAAAATTTTCTTAAGAATTTATCAGAAATGATCTATGAACTTTATTTGTTATTTAAAAGACTAGTCAGAACAGAAAAATCTTTGTTCTCTTTGTTTTAATTAGTCAATTAAACCGTTTGAAGCATTTGTAACTTCTGTTAGTGTGTATCTATAGCTCCATATAAAAAACAGTAATGTTGAATAAATATTAAAAAATACTAAATATAATAATATTACAAAGTCAATAAAAGATAATTTATTACATATCGTATAATGAACTTAATTATTTCTATAGTAATATAATCAGAAATTATATACGTATATATAAAATTAAGAAAATTACATGTGTTTCAGAATGTATATTGATTATAATTTATTGTTGATATTTGTTATTAATATAATATTTGAGAATTTTCTGCCTTAATAATAGGTTTCCTTGTTCGAAAAAAAATTATAAAAAGAATACAAAGAAACTAAAGAAGATTATTAATTATATTGAAATTATGATGGAATGTATTAAAAGGCTAAAGTATTGTGTAGCAATAATGCCTTACAATGATTTACATGGTATTGAAAAAGAATTTATTCGTTTTCTCTATTTCGTGTCTAGATCTTCTATGATTTATTGTTTTCCTTGGATGATATAAATAGAGTTATTTCTGCATTATGGTAGAATTCAATCTATTAACTAAATTACCATTAACATTATAAATTAAAATAATTATTATAAAGTAAATTTTTTTAGGCACGATAATTTGACAATTAAATATAATTTTGTTTTAATTTTTTATTGGTTAAAACGATATCGCTTAATATATAAACAAAACAAATTTCTAAGTTTATTAAAGGAAAAATTGATTTTAGAAAGGCAAATTACTATTATAGTACAATATTTTCTATCATATGTATCTTAGTCAGACATTGATATATGGTTAGATGATATTGCACAAAAAGTATTAGGCTGCCTTGAAAATAAACATCCTACACATTCTGTATTCTTGATATCTTCTGAGAAATTTACTTTCTGGAGAAATAACAATATTGATGACAATTTCTGGAATCCAATAGAAGCAAAGCAAATAATATGTATCTTGGAGGAATATACAATATATTATCTGAATTAAAGTTTTTTGAATTATTTAAATTATTGATAACATTAGATATCAAATCTAAATATATCAATTACGTAAGTTATTTTATATTATATTAAATTGTAATGCTACTTTGTTGCGCTACGCAAGCACATCTATATGTTATCTTATAAATATCCAATATAATTTTTCTAATAAAATGTGATGATATAAATTTTAAAAAATACGTAGGAATTATTCTTATCCATTATTTCATATAGGTAGGTTTTCCGAAAGTTTATAAACTCTTTTTTGTGGTTTAAACATGTGATATATTTCCTTTTTTCCCTTTTTTGGATATATTTTCAAAAATGCAAAATATCGATGTTAAAACACATCCATAAAAGCCGAGAATTGAAGAACACTAACGCTGAAAAGCAAAGCTTCGTGTCTATTATTGTTATATCTACATAATCTTAAACATGAAAATCTAGTTAATATAAGTCTGTCGACTGTGTGTTGAAAATATTGTGCAACAAGGAACATGTGCGCTCTCCGGCTTTCAAACACAAAGAGCGCACGTACAAACGTGTCTACTAATATTGTTAATACTTTGAATTTCATTTTCAAACTTTATTACATTTATCAGATGATATATTATTGATTTAAGTATTTTAAAAAAATCAACTTTTTCGACCTATTACATGAGTTGTCCCCCTTAGGATACTTTGATTCGGTAAAATAGAACTTTTGAAAATTTAATATGAATATGTTTTAATATACATATACATGTTTGTATATATTTATTATGTTTTAGTATATTTCAACGGCTTTTTCTTATTTCACAACTCATGTTTGAAGAAAATGAAGCGGATGAAATTTGATTATAAAATAAAAAATTATTACAAATCTATTATCAGATTATACAAATAATATTTTATAAAAATAATATTTTATATAATATATTTAAAAAGTATTATATTTAATAACGTTTACTATATATACGCGATAATATTTTTATCTAATAACGTAGACAAAAAGTGATTTTGTATAACAATTATTAAATGTTACAAATATTATATATTAAAAGTATTGTAAAAATTTGTGCACAGATATTTCATTCGTAAACTGCTACATCTATCGTGCATATATATTCTATTTGTAATCTCTCATTTCTTAATGTCTTTTTAAATGTAAACATTTTTAATTTTTAAATTTGCCAATAGAAAATTAAAACATTACAAAGCTTATATTACTACTTAATTATATATGAGATTTTCACTTTAATTTTCATTAAATTTTATTCGGTTGATATACACGATAATCAATATGTTTAAGAAATAACAAAAAATATAAAAACTAATAAATTAGAGTTTAGTATCAAAACTTTTTTTATAACTTTCTATGCGAAGTGAAATGTATTCCGCATCACAAACACGGGTTGTGTTAGGTTATATCAACATTACTTATATCTGAAAGTGGAGTCCCCCGCAGAGCGGCGGAACACACTGTTCACGCATGTACTTTCCAAGATGAAGGAAAGTTCACTTAATTTTAACCTCTTAATAGTAAATTTTGCTTCATCTTAGGAAGTACATTCGTAGATATGTTCCACTCCCGTTGGGGCTCCAATTTCAGAAGATATTACCTAACTCACTTCACTTTGTATAGAAAGTTACAAATAACATTTACAAGTAACATTTTTCACGCACAAATAGTTTAATAATTTATCATACATGTATTTTGTTGTTAAAGCGAGAAACTCATAGAACTTCATGTTGACTGTACAACAATCTGTCTGGTACTAACTCACCTTTTCTTAAATATTTTCAAAGTCGTAAGAAATATCAAAAATATAGAAGCCTATCATTGTTCCATTATTTCAATATAAGAAAGCTAAACAATGTCAAACGACAACATAGTTTATATACGGTGTCATAAAGTTACATATTATTTATTAGACATTTTTTGTTTATAATTTTTTAATAAACAATGTCCGTATATATCGACCTTTACAACATTATTCAGAGTGATGATTTTGATAACATATGTGAGAATTATTGAAATCGGAAAGTGGTCCGTATAAGTAAATAATTACTAAAAAAGAAATTGTGTTGAATAAACTTATAAGAGATAACTTACAGACTAAGCGCACGCGATAAAATTTCTTTCTTATTTTCACATATTTTGAACATATTTCAATGATATCTCGGTTTGTGTTAAAATACTTCATCAATATTGTAACAGTACTTAAAGAAATTGCTATATAACACCACAATTGCTATTCCAAGTTCTATTAATTATTCCTTCTCTATCACTCAATTTTATTTCAATACAGACAATATACAGAGATAAAAATCATATATCTAAGGCTACTATATATTTTGCTAAATCGATGTTCTATAACTCAGAATAGCAAATTATTCGCACATTATTTCAATTCGTTACAATGCATGAATATTCTTCCTATCTATACTAAAAATAACTGATGCAAATGTGTATCGATTTCATTGTCTTTGTAAATTTCCATTTATCGCATATTTTATAAAAATAGTATTAAGATGATGTATCATGTGTGTGAAAGAAAAATTTATGAGACATGGTTTCTTAATAAGACTTCGCTGTGCATAATTCTGACATTTCGCCGCAAGTTCTATTGTTGTTTGATAACACGAGAGATAGATTTGCATTAAACAATATTTGCGATATACTCGTACGCATATAGCTTATGCACATGATCATGCAAAAAAAAATAACACTAAGAAAAACGATCGCTATTGTAAAGTTGAGTTTGTTCGTTATATGGTTTTGGCCGCTACCGCAAGACGCAAGTAAACGTAAAGTGCTGTGCATGAAATTGTATCAATACATCACTTTATTATTAATGATAGCCGTATTAGCATCGATGGTATATGCCCTTGTAAGGAATCTGGATGACCTTGAGCTTGTCGTAAAATCATCATTGGGTATATTCCCTTGTAGTCATGTTATCTGGAATATTCTATGTCGCATAGTTATTTATCAACGTCTACAAGTAATTAATAGGGATATTTTTTGAAAATAGAAAAATAAAACACTTATTTTTCTCGGGCATTCGTAGCTGAAATAGCACAATTAATTGCAGTGTGTCACTTTCCAAATGGAAAATTTTTGCGCGTCGATCAACGCTTATGAAGAAGCGATTATTCAGCGAGACTATATTGATAAGTGTGTCAACTTTTATGGCTTTTGTATAACATCGTTCTATACAAGTCTTTTTGCTCTTTTTGTGGGGCCTATTTTGCAAGATGAACCGCTTCCAGCACCCGCTGATTTTCCATTCGATGCGTCTCGACAACCGTTAAGGGCCATTACATATATACATCAAATTGTGTGTGGCCTATATATAGCTGCACATTTATGTGTAAACGCTTCCATGGCCCTTTTGCTCTGGTTGGCATCAGCGAGATTTAAATTGTTGATTGAAGATTTACGGAAAATTACGAATATCTACGATTTCATGAAATGTATCGAGAAGCATCAACAATTACTCGAGTATAATATTTTTATTTTTTTAAGACGATTTTCTGAAAATATTAAAGAAAAATTTTTATGTTTCCTTAATTGTTTAAAGAGAATGATACCATGCGTGAGATAAAATTATAAAATATAATTTTAGGTACGCAAAAGAAATAACTTTTGTAGTTCGTCCTTTCGCATTGGGAACCGTATTTTTCAGTACTGTCTCATTGATAGTATTCGGCCTTATTTTTATTACAGTAAGTACATTTCATAAAATTATTGACATTCTATGCATCAAAGATATTTAAAAATTATCAAGCATTTTGTTGACAATTATTATAATTATTAAATAAAATAAATAATTTAATTATGCATTTATAAATAATAATAGTGCGCGTTAAAATATAAAATTCAGTATATGTTATATTATATCTGTATGTAATATATTTTTAAACATTGTTTTCTTAAATACATATTAAATCTTTTTAATAAACATGGTAAATAATGTTTTGTTATCATATTATTAAATTATTAATTATTTTTTATAATAAATTTTTCTCTATCATATTTATTTAACAGGGAGTTTCATTAGGATTAAAAATCCAGTGTGTCTTTTTAGCAGTCAGTGCATTATTAGAAGTATTTATGTATGCATGGCCAGCAGAACATTTGATTCACATAGTGAGTTAATTACTTATAATGACTTATAATGACTTATGATGACATATTAAATTTACATTATTTTGTTATTTCTTTGAATGTCTCTTTTAGAGTAATAATATTGCACAAATAGCTTTTGAAACAAATTGGTATGATGAATCCGAAAATTTTCGAAGAAATTTACAAATGATTATATTAAGAAGTCAGAAACCAATACTTGTTACACTACCTTGCGGCCTTCCTTCATTATCTTTACATTATTACGCATCGGTGAGATAACAATTTTGATTGCTAAAATTTTTCAATAGTGTACATCATCACCTAGTCATCATAATTATGAGAGATTATTATTTGTGAAATAATTCTTCTTATATAAAGAAAGAAAAAAAAACATTTTTTAAAATTATGTTGTAGTAAAATAAAACAATAATTAAATTGAACTATTTAATACTTAAATATAATACTAAAAACTAGAAACTAAAAGTTATTAATATATATATATATATATATATATATATATATATATAATATATATATATATATATATATATATATATATTATATATATATGGCAGTAAAGTGTTTTATAGCCATCATTTCTACTTTGATTATATAATGAATAAGAAATAAGTACATATTTTTCCAAAAATAAATTCGCAAATATACATATATACACATTAACATATATAGTAACTTGTTAAAAAAATGTATATTTTTAATATGGTAAAATGTTTCAGTATCTCTCAACTATATTCTCCTACTTCACTACAATGCGAATGATGTTTGAAGAACAAAAATGAAGAGCATGAACAGATCATTATTTTGATAAATTCTAAGAAAAAGAATTTTTCTGCACTATACTGTTAAATAATTCTTAGTTGATTAAAAAGAAGAAAAAAGAAAGGAAGAGGTTTGATCTTTATATAGATCTTTATATAGAATAGATTTAAATTTTTAGATATTTATAATCTTTTATATATTATAAGAAAAATATATAACGTACAAAATATTGAAAAATTTATATCTTTAAATACATCTAAGAAAAGTACGGAAAGAGAGAGGACTATTTTTAATATAAAAAAATGACCGTAATATTTTTCTTTTGTAAACAATAATATTAAATTCAAGAGCTTAAAGTTATAAATTATAATCAAGATATAATTGTCGGATAAAATTGCAATATAATAATGTTGACTATGATACTTTATCTGATCATTAATGATAATACTGAGTTTTCGTTGCCAATTGCATTCGATTTATTATTTTTATATATAAATATAATTCTTGTAATATTTCTCTTTTTCATGTTTCTTGTGTTGTTCTTAATCTTTCTCTTATCGAATAGAAAAAAATCTCTCTAAAGTATAAGGAATAAAAAATAAAGACCGAAATTGAATTTAGGATCTACGCGTTGAGGAGGCTCTCGCAATCATCAGTTGGCTGGAATCATCAGTTAGCTTTAATCTTAATTCGATTTTAATTCAAATTCTCATGCACATGTGTTGACACTTTTCAAAATATAATTGTATAAATACAATAAATTTCCTCTGTGAAGTTCTCTTTCTCTATAAACTTTTTCTTTCTTGAAATTATAACTCACAAACATTAAAAACAGGAAAATACAGAAATTGATATTAATAAAAATATTATATACTATTAAATATTATACACTATTTTATTGTAATATATTATTATTTTTCTCTGCATATATCTATTCACACTAAGCATACATCGATAAAATTATTACTCTACATGCATGTAATATATACGATGAGATATAATGTGTATTTACGTTCGATAAGCAGAAAAATTTCTTTTACCTACCAATCACATACATCACCAATTAAAAAATATACATGTAAAATAATAAATGAACTAATATAATTTATATGTTTTGATTATAATAGTTTTCCAACATTGTATAAGTATATTATAAAGTCAGCAATGTACATTGTATATTTTACGTAAAACCCCTTTCAATGCCGAAAAGCAAGAAATAAATCTATCTATCTATCTATAAGTTTTCTTAAAATATGCATACTTTGGATATCGTAAAGAAATTTTAATTTAATTTATTATTTAAAATGTTTGTTTTTGTTTAAACTATAGATACTATAAAAACATTTTTACTTGTTACGCAACTTGAATACGCAACACACATTATCTTTCATTGAATATTTCATAATTTGACTGATGTATTATATGGTGCATGCGAAAGAATAATTTGTCGAAAGATATTTATATTAACTTAGTCATTGTTTTATATTTTCGTTGTGACGTGACGCTTTTTAAGCTCCGTCACGGTGACCCTATCGAGGGAAAAACGCGAGCGCGGGGTCATCCCTCGCGCCTGAGAGGGGCCGATAATTAAGATTGATTTTTCAGCATCAATTTGAGTTGCGTGCGTAAAGTGCGGCGACTGTGCGAGCATGCGTTATCTCTATATGTACATGAAGATCCCGTAAGATACCGAGTGAAGAGGAAGGTATATGAGGATCCCGAATATACCGCAGAGAAGGGACTCAAAATGGAACCAAAGGTTACCGCAGAAAAAGAGGTCAAGTACCGAGATTCCCGCGCCACCGCCAATCATATACCGGAACTATATTAATCCCGGCGATTTTCAGATAAAAGACGGCGGAGAATCCGGACAGCGAAGCCACGAGCAACCTCCCAGGCGGCCGACTGGGAAACGGAGACGTCGTCAGCGGATTCTGGGCCCCTGTGGAAGAGCAACCGACCGTCAGCAGCCAAAATTTTGAAGGGGCGGAGAGTCGACCCCTTTTCGCTAATCTTGGAGAAGGTGCGCGGAAAATCGGCACGGGAATCGAGGGCCTCGTGGACCCATTCCGTTCTCAGCACTGTTCGGTGAGCCTTGAGCAAGTTCACATCATTTACGAGCCCAGAGGAGACGACCCTCAGAGGAAGCCGCCACGCTGGAAAACTGTAAGCCGCCGCACAGGTAGCCTCTCGATTTTCGTCCGGAATTAGCTGGCGTCACCGCTCTTAGGAGTACCGTCGCCTGGCGACGGTCATACCCGTATAAATTATTGCGTAAAGTCTGCATACTTTTACCGTTAATTACCGGACGTCAGCTGTTCCCGGGTGTCGCGGATTTGTCCCTCTCGGGGGGGGTTCGTGCTGACAGTCTCGTGCCGTACCGTAAAATTCGTATCGTCCCGTACCGTACCGCATCATACCGTTTCGTTTCTATATCGCATTTATTGTTACCGCTACGTTCCGTGCCGAATTGCAAGTCCCGGCGGGACGTGAAATTCTGGCCGTTCCGTACCGCGTAAAGAAAAGCGGGATTTGCGCGGGGATTTTCTTGGCGAGTCTGGGTTACCGTAAATTCGAAAAGCTGCTCTGCAAGAAAATTATCTACCGCGAACTCTCCGCCGAGAGATATGTAACCGTTACTATTCGTTTGAAATTATTAATTATTGCTTTGAGTCAGTTGTTGTTACCGAGGATAAAAGGTCGCGATAAGATCGTTGAATAGAGCACAATAATATCCGCATTAATATCCTCGAGATTACCGTTGCAAATAGCATCTAATAAATATTAAATGTATTGTCGCTCGCTATCACGGATTATTGTAAAGAAAACGTCGATGCGATTTATATCGAAATCTTTTGAGAGACGTGTGCCGTTGAATTTATACGGAAATTATACTCAAATATGACAGTCTGCTCGTTATCAGTTACTTTCGAATAGCTGTATTATAAGTTACCGCCAAATATTGTATAAAGTTTCGTTCGATTAATATCAAGATTCGCATGAGGCTCATGCCGCTGAGCGTTCCGAAATCGTACGCGTCTGCTGTGTTCTGATCGTGAGTCTTATCTTGTAATTGATTACCGCTAATTACCGTTGATTATTGTGGGAAATACTGTTCAATTTATATCGGAATTTCTTAGCGAGGCTCATGCCTACGAGCGTGTTCTGAAATCTGACTTATTATGGTATCTCGAGCATAAAAGAGTACTTTGCTGTTAGTTATTATTTGAGCTTTCTTCCGCGATTCGGGAGACATTATATTCATTTTCATCTTGTCCTCATCGTTATCTTATAGACACATTTTGAATAGATTGTTTCCGTTATTATGGTCCTTGACCTTCGCGTCATACGTTATAGGTATTTATTCCTTTGTCTTTAAAACTCATACTATCGATTGTTTATATTCCGAAATTCGTCTGTTCCTTCTTTTGTTTTTTTTATCTACCGAATTTTATCTATTGTATTATTTTTATCTCTGTTACATTATTTACTCTGTATTCTAACTGTTTAATATATTCTAAGTAATTGTAAGTAAGATTAACTCAGATTATTTCTCTCTTCCACAAATTATCTAGCGTTCTCTCTCTATACATAATTCACAAAGAACCCTGCCCCTCTGCCACATACTGAGCCCGGGGTTACCGAATATTACCTTTACCGTATCGTTATCGTGGCGCGGAAATACCGTGCCTGGCGCCCAATTTCACTCTCCTTTCCGGGGAGCTATCAGATACCGTATGCTACCGTAATTTTGAAATACCGCTTAAAACCTTATACCGTTAAATACCGTAACGGCCAAAGCTTGCACGCTACCCCCTCGACGTTCTCGAGGTGGGCAACGGCGTCGCATCATGTTAGTCTTATACATAATTGCTCGTTAAGAAGTGTTTTCTTTTCTAATAAAACATATGATATTCGTATAACATTGTTAATTTTTTAGTTTAATTAATGTTTCTTTTTTGTTAGCAACACTCGCTCGAGTAGTTTTATTTTTATTTAGGGGTGCCATTAAAGAAAATTGAGGTAACCTTCACGTGACCTTCATATGACTCTTCAAGATCAAATACGAACCAAAAGGACTGCAAAATTAAAATTTTACGTTCTAATAACAGCCTTGAATATAGTGCAAAATTGTTCGATCAAGAACTAGAAAAGGCAGGAATCAAGCGTGAATATACGGTATCTTATTCTCCACAACAGAATGGAATCGCCGAGGGGCTAAATAGGACTCTCGTAGAAATGACGAGATGTTTATTATCGCAAGTCAATTTATCCAATGAATTCTGGACAGAAGCTGTTTCAACGACTGCACATATTAGAAATCGATGTCCAACGAAGGTATTGGGCAACATGACTCCCTTTGAAAGTTGGTTCGGAAGAAAACCAAATGTCTCACATTTCAAAACTTTTGGATGCAAAGCTTACGTTTTAAATAAGGTTCTGACAAGAGGAAAACTTGAACCTAAATCCAAAGAACACATTCTTCAACAGAAATAAGAAAAATTTCACAATATTTACCTTTTGATTGATGAATCACAGTCCACTTGGCTGTCGTTAAGTGTCACAAATCTTTTTACTAAATGTACTCGACGTCGCGACGCTACTGCGTCGCTTGATAATAACTTTTAATATGTCACTTCTGTTCCTTGGTACGTTATTATACACTACTTCTTTTCCTTGTTCTGCACTATATTTTTATTTTTTACTCTTATATTTATTTCTTAACTTTTATTTCTTACTCGTATATTTATATTTCTTAAAATCTGTGTTTTTAAGCAAATAATCTAACTGCTTAACGTGTCACTTCTGTTCCTTGTTATACCATTCCGCACTATACTTTAACTATAAATTTACTATAAATTTATCTTTCATACGTACACATACAGATACATATCACACGTATGTACGCACATGCACACATATGATTTTGTCACTTAAAGCATTGTACATTGTGACGTGACGCTTTTGAGCTCTGTCACAGTGACTCCGTCGAGGGGAGAAAGCGAACGCGGGGTCGTCCCTCGTGCCTGAGGGAAAATATATTGAAATACAGTATACAAT